TGTCTCAAAAAAATTAAAAATAGAAATACCACACAATCCAACTATCCCACTACTGGGTATTTATCCAAAGAACTTGAAATCAACAATTCGAAGAGACTTATGCACCCCTATGTTTACTGCAGCATTATTCACAATAGCTGAGACGTGGAAGCAACCCAAGTGCCCAACGACTGATGAATGGATAAAGAAGATGTGGTGTATATATACATCAGAATACTACTCAGCCATAAAAAAAGACAAAAAAAAAATCATCCCATTTGCAACAACATGGATGGACCTTGAGGATATTATGTTAAGCAAAATAAGCCAGACCGAGAAAGACAAACACTGCATGATTTCACTCATACGTGGAAGATAAACACACAACAAGAACAGATTAGTGGTTACCAGAGAGGAAAGGGGTTGGGGGGGTGGGCATAAGGGGTAAAGGGACACATATATATGGTGACAGATAAAAATTAGACTCTTGGTGGTGAGCACAATGCAGTCTATACAGAAACTGATAAATAATAATGTACACCTGAAATTTCACAATGTTATAAACCATTATGACCTCAATAAAATAATTAAAAAAAAAAAAGATTCTCTTTGTCAATATGGATACCCATCATTTACTGAAAATGCTACCCTTTCTCCACTGCACTGCAGTGTCACCTCTGTCATAAATCATGAGACCATATGTGTGAGCCTGGTTATGGATTCTCTACTCAGTTCCATGGTCTCTCTAGCATTGTGTCAATACCATGCTGATATACTACATATTGCTCTTGTAGCTGAAGTTATCCAACTTTGCTCTTTTTCTTAGATTGTCCAGAATTTCCAAACAAATTTTAAAATTGTCTTTAAAAATTAAAATTATCAACTCCTATTTTTGAAAAAATCTGCTGAGATTTTGATTGGGATTGTACTGAATCTATAGATTTATTTGCAGAGCAATGACATACCCTCCATTATTTTATTTATTCATTTATTTTTTCCCCTAAAGCCCCAGTAGATAGTTGTATGTCATAGCTGCACATCCTTCTAGTTGCTGTATGTGGGACACGGCCTCAGCATGGCCGGAGAAGCGGTGCGTCAGTGCGTGCCTGGGGTCCGAACCCGGGCCGCCAGCAGCGGACCACGCGCACCTAACCGCTAAGCCACGGGGCCGGCCCCCCTCCATTATTTTAAATCTTTAAATCTCTCAATAATGTTTTAGCTTGCAAAAAGTTTTCATCATGAATGGGTGTTGAATTTTATCAAATATTTTTTCTCCTTTACTCTGTGTATGTGGTTAAATTACATTGATTTTCTAACATTAGACAAAGTTTACATTTACAATTTGGTATTGGCTTACTATCATTTTTATAGATTATTAGATTTGATTTACCAATACCTTGTTTTAAGACTTTGGTATCTTTTTTTGTGAGAGTTTGGCCTATAATTTTCTTGTACTGTCCTTACCTAGATGCAGTAACAAGGTTATGATGGCCTCATAAAAGCAGCAAGGTGTTCCTTTTTCATTTTTTTAAATGTTTGGAACATTTGACTAATGAAGCCATCTGGTCCTGGAAATTTTGCTATGGAAATATTTTTAATTACATATTTAATTTCTTTAATAAGATATAAGACTATTCAGATTTTCTAGTTCTTATGACTTACGTAAGGCATTTTATTTGAAAAATTCATCTATTTCATCTGAATTTTCAAATGTATTACCATAAAATTGTTCATAATAACATCCTAAGATCTTTTAAATGTCTGTGAGATGTATACTGATAACTCCTTTTTCTTCCCTGACACTGGTAATACCATACACCATTAAGGTTCATTTCCACTCTCAAGGAAAAAAAGAAGGCTGTCAGGCACTATATGACACACATCCACTATCATAGGAAAATTCTCCAGCAGAACTGCCCACAGAAGGAGCAGATAGACTATGTGAACAATCCAGCAATTCCCTCTCAACAGCTCTTGTCACCACAAGCAACTGTGAACCCGAGCAAAAGGAGACACTAACTGAAGGAGAAAGAAACAGCTACTAGTAATGCTCTAGGGCAGCCAGCAAGAACTCCGAAGACAAATAACCACCAAGCAGGGCTTGTAACCTGGGATACCCAACTCTCCCTCCACAAGTGTCCATAGGTACAATTCAAGGGCCCATGAACTTAAAATTTTTTTCTCATACATGTTTATTTTCATGAACCTCTAACTGAAACTCAGGATTTCATCTGATTATAAACGTGGACAAAAAACCATACTAGTAAGACCAATTCCAGTGACTTTGTCACCAATAAGAATCACAGATACTTTCATACCACCATGCAGCCCTTGCAAATACTGCAAAATATCATTTACATGGGCATCACTACTTTGAAATTATGAGTTATTTGATAACAGCACTGAATTTTGTTACTTGATGTATTAATAAACACATAAAATACTCTCATAAATTTGGGTTTTTTACACTATTTTGATAACTTTGTTTCAATATAATTTTAACCCTATGTGTTTTTTTAATGCTTTTTTAAAAACTGGCTTCCCCAGACTCGAAAGAGGTCCATGGCACAAAGAAAAGGTAAAGAGGGGCTGGCCCATGGCCTAGTGGTTAAGTTCTGTGCACGCCGCTTAGGTAGCCGGGTTCAGTTCCCAGGCAGACTTAACACAACTTGGTGGCCATGCTGTGGCTGCGACCCACCTACAAAACAGGATGATTGACACAGGTGTTAGCTCAGGGCGAATCTTCCTCAGCAAAAAAGAAAAAGAAAAAGAAAACGTAAAGAACCCCCTACAAGGAATCCAGGATTTCACCCAAGCCAGGGGACTCCAATGCAACCATGAAGGGGCACTTGCCCCTGGGCCAGGCCCTGAGCTGGGAGCAGAAGACACACAAGGCCTGAGCCACTAGTTCCTGATGTTACCTACAGAGTTCCCACCAACATGTAGCCACCCACAAAAATGACTGCTCTCTCCAGAGACTGGGCTTTCACTCTACTTTAGTCTACATAACCAACTTCCCAAGGAGAGGGCAAAGTATACAGGAGACAAAGCACAGGCTTTGATCCAGAAAGAAGAGTGTAAAACCGACCCCAACATGTACTAGTGTGTTGCTTTGGCATCTCCTTTCTTTGCTGCAAAAAGGGATAACCCTACCTATCCTTCCCAGTTATTGTAAGGTTTAGAAATAATGGATTTAACGGATTTACCCGACAAGCACATAGTTCCCGTTAAGTTAAAATTGGTCGAATCTTTCAGGTCAGAACTGACTGTTCTTATACAGCACTTAATCACAGTTAGGGACTGCCACCGAGCAAGGAGGGAGAAAAACTATAGGGAACATAGAACACGAAGAATGGAAGAAAAAAAATCATATTTATTCTTCGAATTCGAGTATAAAAACCAGCACCTCCTCAGCGAAGGCTTCCCTCTCCTCTCCTCGTGTTCCCATAGCACTTAATCACAATGAAGCAGGCGCCTAGTTCCGCGAATGAATGAGGAACACAAAACAAAGGGACAGAAGCAATGAGTCTCACCCCCACACAACGCCACCACCGAGGATGCCACCCCCTAGCCGGACTGCCCTGGTCCAAGAGCCACGAACCAAGGAAGCAGCACGTTTCTACACACCAGTGCCATCCTAGTACCTCTCCGCCCACCTCGGTAGGGACTGGGTGGAGGAGGGCTCTTCCACATAAAGACCGGTGCGGAAGAGATGAGGGACACTGAGTCCCAAGAGTGGAAAGCAAAAGAAAGCTCTAAGTTTGGGGGTCACTGAAGCCGCAGCAGTCAGGCGCACTTCTAATTCTGCCAGGAGGGCCAGAGTCCGCAACTCCCCGCCCGCAACACTGCCAGAAACTGGGGACGAAGCCGAGAGAGGCCGCTGGCCAGGGCGTGCGTGGACTCGGCCCGGCCGGCGGGAGCCCCAGCCACCGCGCCGGGAGACCAGCCGTGACCCGGGCGCACGGCCCCGCCGCCTTTGTCTCCACCGCGGGACCGGGCGCTTCCTCTGTCCCGCCCTCGGGCGCGCACGCAGGAACTGGGGGAGGAAACGGGAAGCGTCTTGTGCATTTCTTTTCTCAACCGAGTAAACCGCAGCAAAAAAGTCCACACCTAACCTCCCCAGGACCCGCTACGGTCTCCAGCTACCAACCTCCGGGCTGTCCCGGGCGGCGGCGGCGGCCACGCGCGCCACGAGTTCCCAAGAACCCTCTCAGCACTTCCGCGGCCGGCGGCGGCAGCGGGCTTCCCCGGGAAGCCGCCGTCTTTCCCGGGAGCGGCCGCTGGAGGAGCAGCCCGCGCGCGTCCTCGGAGCACGCCCCCGCCGCCGTGCC